GCACATTTATATTCATTGTTCTTTCACTGTGAGAATTGGGTAGTGCTTATTTGGGGTTTTAGGGATTAATTTGGTGCTTCCCCAATCACTGGAAGGGGTAGTGTCACAATTTGATCTTGCTGGGAGAAGTATTTGGAAAATCGCGAAAGGTGTTATCCTTTGGGAGGTATGGAAGGAAAGAAACAGAAAGAATTTTTAGGGGATTTCTATGTCTTTTGAAAGAACAATACATATCATCAAATTCTCTATTTGTTCTTGCTTGTCTGTGACAAAGGAGGGTTGGGGTATCTCCAAAGTCGATGTTATGGCAAATCTTAGTAATCTTTTCCTCCTTGTTAAAAGTAGTCCGAAAAGCATTTGGACTGCCCCTTCGAGTGGTTGTTTGAAGCTTAACTTTGATTGTAGTTCGATGGGAAATCCTGGCTTAACCGGGGATTGGCAAGGTTTTGCGAGATTGCTCGGGTAACATTCTTTTATGATGGTCGAATAAGTGTTCAAACAACCAATTATGCTGAACTGAGTGCTCTACTTTGTAGGGTGAAAATATTCATTGATAGGAATATTGGTAATAACTTTTGGATAGAAGGGGATTCCTTAAATGTGATTAAATGGTGTAATAGAGAGCAAAAAATTCCCTGGGAGCTACGCTTTATTTGGTTGCAAGTTATGGATTTGGTAGATTCACTTTCAGTTTCTTTCTCCCATGTTTATCGTGAAGCGAATCATGTGATCGATGCCTTGGCTAAGGGTGGTGCTTCCTTACCTTCTATTGTTATTTCTAATGATGTAATTTATTTTTCTTAGTTATGAATAAAAGTTAAGAATATTTGTCAAAAAAAAAAAGGAAGTTTCTAATTTAGTATGGATTCCTAACTTTAAATATATGAGATGAAAGTGCAAAGAATTTGTGTACCAAATTTGGCTCACCATATGAGAATGGTGGCTTCTCTAGAGAGAGATGGAGGCAGAGTTTCCTATGAAGAGAGCTTTATATGAAGAGAAACATTGATGGTGCCTCCTGAAGACTCTTGCAAAGTGAGAGGTTGCTTCTTGTAGAGAAGCGGTTCCCATGGAGATTTTGAGTCGTTTTTCCTTTTAGTGAGATAAAGTTTCGTTTGCTCACAAAGTTGTTCTCTTCCTAGACAATGATCTAGTTATGGAAAATAGATGAGAGATCGACATGGTGTCATTTAGGAGAGCAGGCTTAAAAGGGCTTGTTCAACTGTGTTTTTGTCGAGGTTTGTTCCAAAATCTTTGATGTAACTTTCATTTGTATAATGGATTTTTGTTTGACGTGCCCGTGGATGTAGCCCTCTTGGGGTGAACTACATAAATCTTAGTGTTTTTGTTGTATGTGTCTCATGTTTTATTTCTCCTACTCTATTTGCCAAAAATTAACCCATCAGGTTTAGAGCTTCCTCGCACAACAAGTAGTATCAGAGCACAACAAGATATTGGTTCCTCTAGAGAGGGAGGGGGGGGGGGGGGGGGGGGCGGAAGGCCTCCTGTGCATTAGATGAAATTTCCTTTTAGAGAATAAAGTGTCCTATGAAGAGAAACATTGATAGTGCATCTTGTAGATTCCCAAAGATTGAGAGGCTTGTTTGTTGTAAAGAAACGTTTCCCATAGAGATTTTGGGTTGTTTCCCTTTTAGCAAGAGAGAAAATCAGTTTCTCTTTGCTCTCGTGTCTCTATCTACTGTTGTGGATATTGTTAGAAGTAAAGAGAAGGAATGAATAGTTGTTTAAAAGGGTTTGCTTGACTTGACTGTGTTTTTGTCGAGGTTTATTCCAAAATCTTTGATGTAACTTTCATTGGTATAATGGATTTCAGTTTGCCGAACCTGTGGATGTAGCCCTTCTGGGGTGAACTACGTAAATCTTTGTATTCTTGTTGTATCTGTTTCATGCTTTATTTCTCATACTTTATTTACCAAATATTACCCGTCGGATTTAGAGCTTCTGCGCACAACAACAAACACCAAGTACTAAACATGAGTATCTAGTTTCCTCCATCACAAGAATCCTCTTTCGAGGATATGCATGCTCATGGATCACCACCAAACTCAAAATCTCAAGATTCACAAAGACCAAAGGCTACTAGCAGCTCTGATGCTTTGTAGGATACATGTTGAAGTTTTCAGTTATCCCCAAAAGCCACTATCTTATAATATAGGAGTGACTAGTTTTCCTCATGACCATTCCTACAAGAGGATATGCTTTAACTTGTCCCACTTCTCTCACTCGTGTCCTCCTAGATCTACATCTACCATTGGGCTAATATTGATGTGACATGGTACTTACAACCCTTTTCAACAAGGTTAAAAAACAGATTGGTGAACTGGATTGATCACTCCAAAAACTGAGTTGAATAAGTGGATCAACGATCCAATTTGGCCAGTTTCTGCATAAAAGAATTTAAAAAATTTCTAGAAATTTTGTTTTTGAGTTTAAAAAAATTTGGGAGTGATACATTATATACTTTTATTATTTTAGAAAAATATATGAATATTGATACGTCGTTTTCCTGTCTAGATATTTGTTGACCATTGAATATTTTAGGGTTCTTTTTTCCTTTACATTGTCTTAATTTCCTTTGAATGTCAAAAAACCCAAAAAGAAAAAAGGAGATAGATGTCGCATTGTCTTAGTTTCCTTTTTGCCAAGGTTTTCTTTACACCATATAACTTTATTTATATAACTTTGAAGGTATAAAATCAAAGGTATATAGTGTAAATAAGGTATATAATTAAAAATTAGCTAATTTAGAGTGATGTTGTAAATTTTAAAAATTAGCTATGGCGTAAAATAACTATGGTATACATTAACTATAATTAAACTATGGCGTAAAGAAAATATAGCAAAGTTTATACCATATAAATAAACTATATAACTAAGGGAAAAGTTTATATAAGGTGCAAAAATGACATCTTTCGATGTTATTCACCTTACTATAATTGTTTAGGGCCTTCGCTTTATACAAACACTGCCCTATAAATAAAGTAGCTTTAAATATTAACTATTTAAATAAAGTAATAAAATATATAAATAGCTATGTAAGTTTGCTGGGCATTGTAAATATCTCTTATGTAAAATTACGACCAAAGGTTTGTAAAATGTCTTGTATGTAAAATTGATCCCAAAGTTTTGCAATACATTGAATTGTTGCAGTGAAGAAGTGTGAGAATTTGTCTCACATCGAAGATTAAAAAGAGTGCGAGCTTCTATAAAAAGCGTATGACAGGACGGTGCGGAAGCTCTCATCCTCGCTTGTTGGCACGTTTGGGTTAAGTGATGACATTCTCTTTTACGATAAATATAGGGGTAGGCCATCGGCCCTCTATCAAAAAATTTAAAAATATGGAGGCGGGCCACCGAATTTAAGGAAAAAATTATAACCACACTAAGTTTCCTTTGTTCGAATTGGTTGAGGAAAGAACCAGCCAATTATGCTCTAAGTCCACCAAAAAAAAAAAAATGCAGGGCTACCGGATTTAAGGAAAAAATTCTAACCACACTAAAGTTTCCCTTGCTCAAATTGGTTAAGGGCAAAACCAGCCAACTCTACTATCAGCCGGCCTCTCTACCAAAAAATTCAAAACTGCTTGAAGGTAGAACCAGCCAATTATGCTTTGACAGATTTGACCAATTTCTATGAAAATTGGTGGATTTTATTAGTGAACCGGCCAATTTAAGGGGGGACCCGGCTGGTTCCCATATATCGGGCAATCAAATTGGCTAAGTTAGCTCCAACAAGCTCTAATATCTCTTTCACTCTGTAGTGCTCACGGGCATGTTTCATCAATATATGGAGGATAATAATCATTGCTTTAATTTCTTTTTTTTGGGTAGATCAATGGAGAATACAGGTCCTTACCTGTTTTTAGAACTAATTAGCGGTTTTCAAATGCGTCAGTGGGAATGGAAACCTAGATCGATAGTTGAGGCTCAAGTGGCGCTACCACCACAACCTCAACGCCATTCCCCTCTAATTATTTTTTTTAACCAAGCAGAGCTGCAATCTGAGTACAAAAATATGAGAGCCTAAATACACAAAAATGAAAATAAAAAAGAGAAAAAATGGAAATAAAAAATCCAAACAACGTAGAGCGTGATAAGATGTATATGATGGGATAGCCTAGTAAGTATGAGCAAGTGCTTCAAAACCCACATCAATGGGGTGATCTGTCGTCCCACATATCTGTATTGAATATTTGGCTTGGCGATCCAAATCAGTGATCCATAAAATATTAAATATAAGTTTGTGGTGTGAATTTATGAAAAAATACTTCAAAAACTTCGAAAGAAAAAAAAAAGAAGATCGTCTACAAAGAGATTATTTATGTTTTTTATATAGAGGTCACAATCATTTTTGTCTCAATGGGTGGTTGTAAAAGTGTTATTGAATAGACACAAAATCTAGAAAAAAAAATTCTCCGGACTTCATGACTCACTAAACCATCCAATTTGACATGTAATTGAATGAGAATGATTGTGTCACATAAAATTTTTGTAGACAATTCTAAAAGAAAATTATGTAATGGGTGGTTTTAATGGCTAGGCAAACCCACGCCCACGACCAATACTATGTTGTTTTGTTTTTTTTTGTTTTTTTTTTTTTTGAGTGCTTAGGAACAATATAATCTTAAAAGTGATTTTCTGATTTGGATTGGCTTGGAACCACCGCGTTCAAAGAACCCTGAACTGAACTTAGGAGTGGCAACAGGCCGGGCTTGCTGGGCGGCCGCTGGTACAAGGCCGGTCGTAGTCCCCATATGCCGGCCTTGATCAGGCCTAAAAGGCCATGGACCTAGCCCTATTCTGGAGGCCCAAATAGAAAACGAAAGAAAAACACAAAAAAAAATAAAAAAAAAGTCGAGACCTAACCCTCAGGCCGTGGTTGGCCAACCGTGGCCGGGTCGTTTGATCGGGTCAGACCCGTCCCATTGCTACCCCTAGCTGAACCATCCCTAACGATTTACGAGAAGTTTTATTAGAAGCAGGAAAGGATTAAAGTGGCCTTGTAAACCTCGCTCTTTCCACTCTGTATCTTCCTCTGCTCTCTCCTCTTAAGATCATTCCTCTCTCTCCTTCGATCCCCTTAAATACATCTACCAAATTCCGTTTCTCTCTGCAATTTAAAACTCTGAAGAAAAACCACCTCAGATTATGAGGTGAGGGAGAGTGATGGTGGAGTGGTGGTGGAGTGTGGTGGCTGCGGCCATCCCTGCTGTGGTTGCAGGGCAGGCGGTGAGAAGAGTGGGAAAGAAGAAAGCTGAGGAGCTGCGCATCAAGGCGGTGGCTTCTGGCAGCGGCGTCGGGAGAGAGAAGAGCTCTGAAGAGGTCTTCTTTTGCGAGAGAGTCTGCACCTCGAAGCGGATGCTCAAGAGGGTTGGGGCCTTCTCGAAGGATCCCACCCCTGATACCTGTGTCACAGTTTGTGGGGTTTCTGAGCTCGATGCGTGTGCTGAGGCCTGTGCGCGTACGGTTTGTGTCAACCAGCACCATGTCCCTAATTGGAATGATATTTGCCTTCGCAGATGCCAGTCCGAGTGCCTCAAGCTCCCTTCGTAGTGTGGTTCCTCATTTTGTGATTGGGATGTATCCAGTTCAGGTTAGCCTCTCACTCTTTCTTTCTCCTTTTCCGTTTTCAGAGAGAAACAGATTGGGTGTTCTGTTGACTCTTTCTTCCTCTTTTTTGTTTTGAGAGAGAGAAACACTACTGATTTTGTTGGAATTAGAGGATTTGGGTCTATTTCGATATGCTTTAAAAAAGTGATGCATAGTTGACAAACAGATAGGCTTTCGGGGTTCTTGCACAATATTGGCGCATTTCCATTCTGGTCTTCCGTTTTCAATGGTTTTTATTTAGTGTAGTGGATTTAAGGAAGTTTTCTGTGGTATATCTGTTCTCATTGTTGAGACTTCTTAGTTGATGATGGGCGCAATTAGTTAGTTGGGGTTAATGGGTGACTTTTACCCCTCTCTCTTCTCTCGCCCTTTTTTTTTCCCCCCTCTTGTGGTGGTTATGTGTTTTTTGGTACTTTGGCTGATGCTGACTATCACTGTTTCAGTATGCATGGTTATTGAGATTGTTGCATACTTGGTTTTGGCATATTCAGCTTGTGGTGTGATGTGTAATTCGGCATGCGATTTTGCATAGAAGAAATCTGAGGCTTGTAGATGTTCTGGTGCAAAGAAAGTAACTCATAATCTCGAGAAACATGAATCTCCTCGTTTCATGGGAACTAATTTCACTTTCATTCTTTTACTAGTTTGAATTCCTTATCTGAATTTATTTGTGATCTATGTCAGTAATTGAATATTTGGTTTAAAGCACAAAGCGTGAAAGTGCAATTATTAGAGAAGAAGGTATATTCCTCTAAGGGGATGTCTCCTTCTCCTTTTGCTTGGAATGTGTTGTAGACATATAAATATGTGCAATTAGCAGTATCACTGTTATTGACTAAATTCACTTCGTGGATTAGCAGTTATGTGAATGTGATATACTGCCATGAGTGTGAGGAGATCAGTGGAATTATCTCATGCCAAGGAAGAGTCAGTATTGAGGAAAATTCGGTGGATTATTACCAAGATTTTCTTGTCGTGCACTCTATAGACCCTCCAATGCGTAATGAATTCCTGCTTCAATCTGTTTACAGTATTTTTTATGCATACAAGCAAAATGAGATAAGTGGAACATCACTCTGATGTAGAGTCATCTGCCTGTTTTCCAATTCATTGCTTTAATGTTTTTTACAATGCCTCTATTGTTTCTAGATTTTTAGTTTCTAGGATGTGCTTCCTTTAATATGGCCCTTCTCTCATTGTGGCTGTCATATATTCAAATTCTCTGTTTATTACTTTTACTTTGACGGTCTTGGTTGATGATATCTCCAAATGTTTTAGCCTTTTTCCAAATTTTCATTGGGATTTGCTTTTGAATATAATGGGTGTCCAATTTCAAATGTAGTTGACCTGTATTGAAACAGTTAATGGTTTTCTGTAAGTTCATATTATATGTTGGGCCTATTTTCAGCATCGATTAGGCGTTGGAAGAAAATCTCCACTTATATAGAAAATTTTTCTAACTAATGGGGATAATGGGATTGAAGTGATGTAAGTTAGGTACTAGGCCGTTCCTTATTGGTAGGGAGGTAGAGAGGGTGAATAACGTTTCTGAAGGTATGTGAAATTTGTTTGAAACCTTAGGGACCTCTTCAGCATATAAATGAAGTGTTATGAGTGTAGTACATAGGCTCAATTTTGTAGAGAAAAAGATACGTGTAGATCGATATTAATGGAATTTCAGTCAACTAACAGAAAACCAAAAAAAGAAAGAGATGTATCATGGGTCGTCAATTATTCTAGGTGTGGTGAAATATTTCTTTATTAAGAAAATGCCTTTCTCACAATTATAAAGATGAAAGTGTTCCCTGGTACTGATCTTCATTAAATGTACACACGTGCACCTATCTTTCTGACCTATATAAAAATATCTTCTTGTAACCAGTGTTATGTTCTTGGCTTCCTGCTTAAAACATTGGGTACTGGTTGAGGCATTAAGTTTCACATTTCTCACTATTAAGTCGGATTTTTAGCTTTATACCCTTTTAGTCCCAAGATCTCATCTTTGCAATGCAAGTCAAGTTAGCTGAATCCCATCTGTGATATCACTTTTTTTTTTTAAGAATGTTAATTGAAAATATTTTTTTAGAGCAACAGTAGCAGGCTTACCTGCTTTATTGGTAGAGCTTGTGGGATTTTAGAGCTCGTGGGTTAGAACTGCTTCCTATTATGTGTTGTTTAAAGGAAACTTATTTGTATTGAAGTGGTTCCCATGTAAATTTTTGAGAGATCCACGGGGCATGATTTGTCAACCAATGGAGCTGATTGAAAACACCTTGAATGGTGTATTATAGACTAATTATTGGATCGACTAACTTGAGAAATTAATTAAAAAGAAAATAACTAGCTCAAAAATTAACAGTCACGTGTGACCATGTATGTCCTGCTTTCTGGCTGTTTCTCCATATGCTTCGATGTAATAAGTCTGCTAGCTGGTGTTTCTTCGATTGTAGAAATTGTTTTGTCAGGCCCTTTTGCATATATAAATGTGATGGTTGGTAGCTGTAGGATTGTTCTCTAACTTTTCTTTTCTCAACAATGAATCATCTGGAAGTTGTATATTTTGATATGTATCATGAGTACAGACCAATGGAGAGGCATCATCAAACATAAAAAAGAATTGAAAATTAGCATCTCGAATAAAGTTCTACAGTGATAAGGCGTCTAAGCCCGCTATATCCTTTGGTGAGCCATAAATGATATTTCTAGCCTCTCTTAGGAAATTGTTGGATTCCTCATCTAACTGATGAAGGTAGATGATCTTCTCCACAAGGATAACCAGTCTCTTGGGATTTTTTGTACATTTTATTACCCAATAATACAATTATAGTCAACTTTTCTCAGAAAGAAAACCCAGCCTCTTGGGATGTGTTCTTTCGCATCAAATCGCTTGATGGCAATGGAAGGTTATCCCCCTGCTAACTATGTGCACTTTTAACACTTGAGGCAGCCTATTTTGCTATATTCAAGTCACATAATCCAGTAGGGTGCAGTTCCCTGTATTCTCTATGAAGTGAAAACTAATCCCATTTGGTCACTGGTTCGTAAATTTTTTTGCATTACATTTATTTCTCAGTATTGTCTCCAGAGGCATCCACTGAATATCCATTTATAGGATAGTGGTACTCCCCTTTTTTGATCGTCCCCAATCGTTGATGAAGTTTTGAGCTCTGTGATTAATACCACAAAAATCATTCATGCTTACGGCGAAGACTATATGCATCCTAAATATTTATGTTAAGTTTTTTTTTGCATGTTCGTAAAAACATCACAGGATTTCAGGACTCTTTAGAAGATCCTGCTATTGCAATCCTTCCATATCGTGAATAGAAGGGTCATGATGATAGATTTCCATAGAAGGCCATGCCTGTGAGTGGGTATTAATGATGACCAGTGGCTTGCAAACTTAGTTCATATGAATTTATGAACTAGGTCAGAAACTACTTGGGATCTTTCTTGAGAAAGATCAATGAAGCAGAAAATGGTCCATGAATTATTCAGCATCTTGGCACTAGTAGCACATGTTTGTAAAGTGAATCACCCAATGATGGAGATGGGTGTTAGAATCTTATTGGTCACTGCTGGCAATCTAAAAGTTACAGCATTGAAGGAGCAATTTACCTGGATAAAGTGGATTGAGGATCTCCATGTAGCAACTTGCAAAAAGATGGCACTTGAGAATGTGGAGGCACTTGAAGCATCATCTGTTATAATGGTTTTGCGAGTTATGTAAAAGAAACATTTTCCAAGAATATGCATTGCAGTAGTTGGTGGACGGAACACTGTTTTACTACACTCAAGCTTCTTCTATTGACTAAAATGTTTAATAACCTCACATTATGCAAAACATGTGCGTCTGGTTTTTCATATGAAGACAAATAGGCCAAGCACGAACTATGAAAAGCTGGCAACTGAACATGATTGGATCCTTGTCTAGCATGAATGCACAGAGGTGAAATTGTCTAAAGTTGTTCAAATAGATGAGCCATGTAATACATCCATTCTTACTAGGATTGTCCATGTAATACATCCATTCTTACTAGGGTCTTCCATCTCAGGTCTACTCCTGGAATGTGTTTCCACCATTTGGGGGTCGGAATGAATTTGCATGTTCTTAGTGACGCATTCCCCATCTTCTTGGGAACTCTTTCTACTAGTGCTATTGAGGAAGATTGCCCTCTTTCCTATGGTAGGCTTCATGGTGGGACCTACAAAATGCATCACAGGCTGAATTTTTGGTTTTAAAGGGAAAAGGTTCCCATTGTAGACCAAATTTGAAAGGAAACTCGAGCATCAAACTTCTTTTATTAGTTTTTATCTTATTTTTAAAATATTTGGTTATGTTTAGTATTTATTTGTAGGCACTCCTACTACTTAACTAGGGAGCTTGTGGTAAGCAATGGTCCTCCTCTCTCGCTCCCACTCCAAACAGCTACAGACACATCACAATGAAACAATAATCTTCTTTATCCTAAAAAGGACATCAAATAACTGTCAATATCTTACATGTCTAGCATTTCCTTCATGCTTGCCATTCTACTGAGCAGTGATTCAAAACACGGACCGCCGAGCACTTAGGTGGTTGCTTAGGCAATCTCGAAGGCTTGGGCACATCGCCCAGGCCTAGGTGGCCAAACTAGGCGGCAGTCCTTGGGCGGCTGCCTAGGCCAGCGGCAAGTGCCCAGCCCTAGGCGGCTGCCCAGGGCATGCGCCCCGCCCAGGGGTGGAAATGATTTTTATTTTTCAGGTTCTATTGAGTTTTTTTTTTAAAATAAAAGCTTTTAAGGGTAGGTTTTAGGTTCATTTGAAACCTAAACCCACAAGAACCCATTTTAGAGAGAGAAACTTCAAAAAAACTAGATTTTGTGATTTTCATTGGATTGAAGTGTTTCTCAAAGTTACGGAAAATAGATCCAAACATCACCCAAGTAGATTAGATTTAGTTTTGGAGTTTTTTAATCCTATTAGATAGTGTTTTTTAATATTTTAGCACCAGAAAACATCTCAAAGGTGGAAGTTTGGAGTTCGAGCAAACAAAGTAAGTCCAAAACTTTATTTTTTAGATTGCTTGTTTTAGTTTGAGATGTTTTCTTCAAGATCTAATCGAAGTGGAGATCCGGGTTGGAAATATAGATATAACCCGAATCCGAATGACAAAAATTGCATAAGATGCAATTATTGTAAAAAAGATACAAACAAGGGCAAGCTGGTTTAAGAAACATCTTGCCAGTATTAAAAGGGATGTTGCCCCTTGTAAAAATATGCCTGAAGTTATCAAAGAGGAGATTAAGCAAATATATGAGTTATGTAAAACAAAAACATGAACAAAATCCTTGTCATTTGAATAGGTTTATTTTTTGTTATGCTAGAAGAAGTGATCCGGTTTGGAAGTATGGTCATAACCCGAAACCAAACGATAAAATTGTATAAGGTGTAATTTTTGTGAAAAAGATACCAATGAGGGTATTAACCGATTCAAGAAATACCTTACCGGTATTAAAGGGAACATTGCTTCTTGCAAAAAGGTTCTTGAAGCTATTCGGGATGAAATTAGACAATTTCTGAATTTAGAAGAACCAAAAAAGATGAAAATGAGCCTTGTTTTATGGAACTATCTTCTCCAAGTTCTTCTAGAAGTGGTGATCCGGATTGGAAGTATGGTTATAACCCGAATCTGAATGACAAAAATTGTATTAAATGTAATTATTATGGAAAAGATACTAATGGGGGTATTTATTGGTTCAAAAAACACCTTGCTGGTATTATGGGGGATGTTTCCCCGTGTAAAAATGTTCATGAGGTTACTAGGGAGGTGATTATACAATATTTGAGTTCAGGGAAGCACAAAAAGATAGAAAAGGGTAGAGTAGCCGAGACTCCTAAGGCTTCATCTGCACATAGTAAGAGGGAGGTAGAAGACGAGAAGGAAGAGGCAGAATCAGAAGAAACAGAGGAGGACGAGCATTATGTTGAAGAGGGAGATGACTCTAATGATGATGGCCTCGATTCTGATGCATATGATGAGGCTTACCCTACTCCTTCTGATGATGGTGATGGTGATGATGACTGAAGAATGAAGAGTTGAAGACGCTTAAGTGTTTGACTCTTGTTGTTGACTGTTGAATGTTAACTATTGTGTGACTTTGTGTCCTAGACTGTATCTTTTTTGAATTTCTGTATATATATATTTTCTTATTTTTAGTTTCTACTATCTAACTTTTGTCCGTATTAGACTATCAGTGTATGCTTGTATAGTCTTACTGTTTTAGCATTGTATGAAAATATGGATTATGGTCTTATGGATTATCAAAATTCTCTTTTCGACTTCTCCTCAATTCCTAACTCATGGAAATATTAAATATGGATTATGGATAGAATATCAAAATTCTAATATTTGTGGTTAGAATATCAAAATTCTCCTCATTTGTATCAAAAATTCAAAATTCTATATTTTGTCTTTCAACTGGGCCGCTCCAGTTCTGGGCGCCCGCTTAGGCGCTGGGCGGCGTGGACCCCCATGGCCGCCTAGGTGCCGTCTAGCGCTCTTTGAAACACTGCCATTGAGTGAGTCATCATAAGATTATGCGTAAGCAGCTCCTCGACATTCAAGAAAGATTGAGAATTTGTCTGTACCCCTTTGAGTCAAGTTGTAGATTTTCATTGGAAATTGAGTTCCCAAAATTGGTTTGAGAAATAGATGACCCAGAACACATCAATTGATGAATTGGTTTCATGTAGAAATGGCCCCTTTGATTTCATATCAAATGCTTTCTTACTGTTAAACTTTCCTTAGATCAAGAAGATGATGATTGAACTCCTTGTTGAATAAGTTTGGGTTTACATAAGATAAAGGTTTTATCTCCCAGAAAATCTTAATCTCATGATGCTACTGCCAACCTAAAGCCACTGCCACTTCTTACTACAAAAATTCTAGTAGGCCATTGTTTCCTAGTACATAAACTCTTTCCATTGTACGCTCATGCACTTGTTTTTGGTTCTGCAATATAATCATTCATGATTTGATGTGCATAACATGCTTAGGACTACAAATGTTATTTCAAACTTTTTGCCTTTTAGGCTGCATCTTCCCCTACAGAAAAGTTTTCACTTGGAGTGTCTTAAAATGATTAGGACTACAAATGTTATTTCAAACTTTTTGCCTTTTAGGCTGCATCTTCCCCTACAGAAAAGTTCACTTTACGTGTCTTGGTTTATGTATCTAAGACTTTTTCATATTTTGCCAGCTCTTTTTCTCTACTTGCCGTTTTAAAAAATTTGAAATGGTAGCCTTAAGCTGTCATACTTGCAAATAGGTGCCTTATATGCCTTGGATACTTCAAACGTTCATGGAAAAATAAAATAATTAATTCCTTAACACTTCCATGCATCATAAACAGAATGCATAATGTCATTCACAAGCAGTGTTTTCAAATTCGTTTTTAAGACTCAGGTCTCACTTGTGTCAACTGAGGTCAGATGCCTCCAATGTCTTACAATATGTATGTTTAGCAGGGAATAAAATTGGCATGTCGTAGAAAAACTCAAAAGAGTTATTCATATGGTTCAGGTCAATCCCAAGTCTTACTGAGTCTTTACTATGGACATTAAAGACGAAACGACTCAGTTAAGATTGTGAGTCCACTAACAGTGTGTCAAATTGACTTGGCTCTGGACATTGCCAAGTCCATAGTCCCTGCCACTAGCAGAGTCTAAAACTTTTAAGCATTCTTAACATAGCATGATTATTCCGGTGTGTTGCTCTTGGAGCATTTTGTTGGTTGACTTCGTAGCATGGCTAGACCTAGATGCATACTGATATAGGAATGGATGACATAGATATTGAAACGATGAGTGATTTTTAAAAAAATTCCTGTACGGCTGCTTGCATCCGAGTCTCTTGGGCTTGATTAACCACTAATCTAGTTTTAGCATGAAGCAATCTCTTTGGAGGCTTTCCCCCCATTGCACAAGAGGTTTGCTTTAGTCTCAACAAGTTTGGGGCTTCATTGTAGGTGGGCGCTGGCCATTAGTGATTCTGACAGATTGATCTGTGATTCTGTGGTATACAGAAAATTGGATTTGATTATGACAAATAACTAAAAAAGAAGCCACAAAGTACAGATGATGCTGAGCTGATGGTACCACCATTTATTATCATTTTGATCAGTAATGGTTGTTGGGTCCAAAATAACTTTGTAAGGAATACAGTCTGCAAGGCCCATATCCCAGGAGACTCGCAAAATTAGGTGCTCCCCAGCGCTGTCAATAAAGTCCATAAGGTCTTTTCCATGTAAGAATCCTTATCACCTGTAAAAAGGAAATAAAGAAGTCCTAATCCAGTAGTTTGGAAACCCAGAAAGTTCTAGTTCATACTAGTTTGCCACATACAGCATGGTAGCAGGGCTTCATTAAGAATAAGAGGCCATGATTAATTCCTTGTACCATACTGGTGAGCCTTGCTCATAGATGTGAGTTGGTGAATACTCCAGAGTAGTTTGCAAGGGCAAGCAGCACTACAAACAGCAAGTTCTAGCATTGATGACTGACCGTTTTTTGCTATGTTGATCACTTTTTTTTATGGAGCATCATAAAGTTCAAACGTTGAGGAAGTAAATCAACGGATGTTACAGAGTAATTGACGTAAGGACTTGGGATCATATCGTGGAGTATCTTAAAAGTTTCAAAAAATTATATTCAACTAGATGCCTTCCACCTTTTAAGTTCTCCACAGAAGCCATTGTCTCAGAATATGGAGAAGGATTGGTTAGGATTTCAATGGTTTTAAAAATGTAGCTGTTGAATACAGGTGGAAATGTATTTGACATTCTTTATGCTTGTCTTCAAGGACACAGCCAAGCAGATTGTGATCATATTAAGTGACGGGAGAAGAGACTACTTGAGGGATTTGGTCTGGTTTTTCCAATGGATCAAAAGAAGATTACGTGAATGCAGTAAGAAGCCAATTATTTCCAAATAGCATGTCACTCCTCTCTCTTCGTACCCTTCAAGAAAACCACGTAATAAAAGCAGTAGTAGCCACTATTACATGCCTTTGCAATTGTAGTTTAAAAGGCAAAGCTATTGATCTCTATAAAAGTTTGGTGGTTTGTCTGCATTATGGCCGGCTTGTATATTAGTCGCCGGTAATTTCCAGCTGCGTTAGAAACCCACCATAGAAAATACAAGGGTCCATCACCAGATAAAAAACACACTCAATGAAATCCATGAGTAACCCCCACATGGTTAAATACACCAAAACATAAAACGGAACCACTTCTTTTCTGGATAAGCAAAGTTAAAAGAAGACCGTAAAATAAAATTCCAAGTAAATAATCAGGAAAACAAAGAAAAAAGAAAATACAAAAAGGAATCAGGAAAGAGAAATAAAGAATCAGTGCTGCCTCCGCTTTTGATGTCTCTGATCTCTGTAACTTTCAGAACTCGACCCATCATAAGAAGAGCCAGTGGTGTGCTGCTTTATAAGGCGAGGCATGTTCTTCAAATACTCGCATATGCTCTCTGTGATGCCATCAAGACCGACGCCATCAAGAAATTATATTGCGAATCTCGTATTCTTGGGATCATCCCTATGGGTTATGGACTCAAACGACTCATGCATGGTGGGATCATTGAGCCTCTCACTAAGCAAGCACAACCCAATTTGCTCGTCCAATTCCTGAAAGAGAAATTTGATGAAAATATGGGAGGACGATGTTGTATCCTCCTCCGTCAAGTGTATGTACCGAATAAGTATGCAAAAAACTTGGCCACATTCCTCAGCTTAAAGTCGATGTATGGACGAATACTGGTGCACAAAGCACTTGTCTCAAAGTTCTCTTGATGGACTTTGTTAACCCTGCAAAACCTCTGACGCAACAGACCGTAATATGGGAGATGAGTTCTCTCATGAATTCAGCACTCTAGGAGCATAACACATAGCTCCATCTCTTGAGCAGGTTCGAGTTTGATTTTGAGTAGTTTGTGTCCTGCCTCCCTAAAATCCAAACTCGACATGATTGTTAAATAAAATGTTCCCCGTAGATTGAACATATTGGTCTCTAATCCTTGATCTTGATCTTCATACTACTTTTGTCTTGAACTTCTTTCATCATTAGCCAACTTAATGGAGGAACGTAAACCCCACCACTTCTCCCTGTGTTTGTTTCACCCATCAAATCTTTAACCGGTTTGAGCGAGAGAGCTTTGGTTTAGCGCGAGACAGAGAATTCTGATATTGCTCCTCTCTCTCTTTCGCCGTTCTATCGCAGGCGACTAACACCGACAATATAACTTTGTTTTAGAGAGAAATCAAAATCAAAAAGAAAATCAACAAGAAGAAAGAACACTGAGTTTTAAAGTGAAATCAAAATCAAGAAGAAAATCAACAAAATATCAAAATCGAGAAGGAAATTAACAAGAAAAATAAACAAAACGCCGCACCACATGCTCACGAGCACGAGAAAAAAATACCCACAAAAGATCGCAATGTGACCGATCTATATAATTGACCACGAATCTTTGGAAGCTCATAGAGGTGGTTTATCTAAGCGATCATGTAAATATTTTTGCAAGCTTATAAAGGTGGTTTATCATGTAAAATATCTAATGCAGAGCATGTCGATTTGCAATAAACAATTATATTAATAATTTTTTAAATATGCAAATCTCTTTCCATTAGGTTAGAACTCGGAAATGTATTGGTTCTCAATTTCTTTGGGATGTTTCCATTCTCATCAATACCATATTTTTTAGCAAAAATGATCTCTTGTCATTGACTACGAGGATGAAAAGAGACTTTCCACCACCATTTAGTAAGCAATGCATTATTCATTGTTCATAAGTCAGAGTGTACGAATGCTTAAGCCTCCCTCTTTCTTGGGTCGGCACACCATTTTTCATCTAACCAAGTTATATTTTTTAGGCAAAGGGGGTCCACTCCAAAGGAAGTTTCGCATTAGAGATAGTTTCTTGATCTTTGCTGCCGGTGCTCTGAACAACGATAGAAAGTACACGTGTGTATTGGCTAGAGTGGAATTGATGATAATATTTCTGCCCCCAAAAGAAAGGCATCTGCCCTTCCACCCATCAAGTTTATGCTCAAATATTTCGACGATAGGATCCCAAGCTGAAATAGGAAGCCTACCATCAGCGGGAAGAGCTTCAACCTCACAGCCCAACTATGCTGCCTAATAATCCAACTCTTAATTCTCACAATTAAATTCCAATGAGTTTGGATTTGTGCACATTTACTTTTGCCCCTGATATAAACTCAAAACATTTTAGAAACAACCACAAATTCTGTACCAGATCCAGGTTGGCCGAAGTGATGAGAAAGGTGCCATCTGCATATTGCAAATGAAAAATAGGTTGTTCATGACCATGAGTCCTAGGCCCATCAAAGAGACCGGACCTTACTACCGAAAACATCATTAGGTTGAAAGACTCCCCAACCAGTGCGTAAAGGAAGGGCAATAATGGGTTCCATTGGCGAAGGTCTCTTGATGCTTTGAAATACCCACAAGCTTTCTTTTGTCAAAAAATAAAAAATAAAAAAACAAGGAAATTCCACAAGCATTGCCACTGATAAAAATTGAATAATGAACAAAGAAGAGGCAACCCTTAATCCATTTTCATAAAGAGCCAAAACCCATGAACGGTAATGTATCATCCAAAAAATCTCATTCCACTCTGTCATACGCCTTTTCAAGGTCAATTTTACACAGAATACCTTTACTTCCCTTAAGTCTAGTGGAATGGATCACCTCTTGCGCCACAAAGAATACGGTTCAGATAGCGCTTTGGACGAACACAAATGTCCCATTTCTTTTTTTTCCCAACTGGCTTCAATAATATTGATTCCTTTTTGTAAATCTTATCCAAAATCAATCAATTTTTTTGCTCCTACTTCCTCTCACCTGAAATTGGCTTCTCTTTCTCTCAAGTTTATCCACCAAATTAACTGCTTGACCTGGACTTGCTTGCCTATTGGCATGGAGCTTATCGTTGAACCATTGGTTTTGATTCGCATGAAGGAGAGAGTTAAAAGAGTATTAAATTATTGGTTTTGATTCGCATGCAAGAGAGAGAGAAAGTTGGAGAGAGAGGGGTAACCATTTCCATTTTCCTTCTTAAGAGGAGGGAGTTTATACTCTCTTTTTTTTTTTTTGGAGAGAGAGAGGTTTTCTTTCTCATGCTTTTTGAAACAATAGTGGTATTTCATTCAAAACCATGGCACCAGAGATTCCTCCTTATTTATAATAAATTTGTTGAACATAGTTGTATTATTTTTGCAATCGTTGTATCATCCTCGAAAGCCCCATGACTTTTTGCAGACATGAAATCGTAAAGCTTTAACCCGCAAAGAAATTATGAAGAATTTGATGGGAATCCCCTTTAGGCTTTGGATGCACCACAAGGCAAGACAGCAAAAATAAATGGAAATTTTTCCTAGGAAATTCCGGCTCGTTTGGATCATAGGGTAAACAAAACATCGTTTGCAGCGTTGAACTAGGTTTTTTTACTTGTCATCTCAATACTCAGCCGCAGATAACCAGAGATAATCAGATGAAGAAAACCAGAGAGAGACCAGGTAGGTTTCAATGACCCCATTTTTTTTCTTTTCTATATTTGTGATGGAGAAATGATTCAGTGAAGTTAACTTCATTGGCTCTTATGTCCCCATGCTTTCTACGAAAATTGCATGCACTGCATGCTTTCTTTCTTTCGGGTAAATGATGCAATGCATGCTTTCAAAACCTCCACAAGACAAGTTTCACATCAAACTGATGGCCGAGTCCCCTCTTGAGAGAACTCCATTATCAACTTGCAGCGATTTTCATGTCTCATCAGAATAGATAAAAAATGAGCAAAGAGTCGCATGTAGGTGGTAATACAATAATAAAGTCTGGTGAGAAGATCATCTAGAAAAGCCAACAAAAGGACAATTGGGTCCACAGTGTACAAACTAATCTAAGAGTAATTTTACGTACAGATATAACTAAATAAATAAAGTATAAAATAGGTCAATTTTGGCAAAAAATTACGAGAAAGATCGTTTACCGTTAGACTTTTTTAATTTTTTCCCTAATGCCTCCCAAGCTAGGGATAGTATCCCCTGGCCGGTTTTAATTTTTTAATTTTTTATTTTTATTATAGTTTGTTTTGATTATCAGGGTCATTCTTATGTTTTAAGACAGTTGGCGACCGATCCAAGGTTTCCATCCATCGATTACCCAAATTATGGTGTTACATCACATTATAGGTAATACGAGGATGGAGATCTCGGATTGCTTCATTCTAGTTAGTAGTTTGGGGTCCCCATCCGCGGACCGCCCACACTATGGTATTCAACTACTGTATGTAATGTGTTGTAATACCACAATATGAGTCGGTCGAGGATGAGAACTTTAGACCGTTCACCAACTATCCCGAAATTAAAAATAAACAAAAAAAATTAAAACCGGTCAGAGGAGATGATCCCCAAACCAATGGGCATTATGAAAAAATTAAAAAACTTTATAGTAAATGACTTTTCTTGCAATTTTTGCCCAAAATTGACTCATTTTGTATTTTATTTATGAAATAAAGTTTATATAAAACCGAGGCTCTAAACAACCAAATTACAGTCTACCCCAAAAATTTCATTAGAAGAGGTTATTTTGATGCTCAAATGTCTTCAAATTGATCATCTCGACATCAAGATGTATGGACATGAGAAAAAAATGGATTTCAAGTTTTGAAAATAGTCCATCTTATAACTCATTTTTGGACAAGTCAATTTTCAAGATTTTTAAGTGTCCATAAATATGCTATATCTACATTACTTTTGAAGCTTTAAGTTTTATAATTAAAGATGAAAATATATTGTAAGGCTATCACAAAGATTTCCTGCATTGAAACTACATTTTTCGACATTATTTAAAAATACGCTTTACTTTGATTGTTTAGAGCCTCGGCTCTATACAAACCGCACCCTTTATTTATTTATCGTGTGTCCCTGGGTAAATTGCTCTTTGGTTTTTGTGGTTGAGATTTGTTGAAGAACACAGATGACACTTCGCTTTCTTTGTCACTTTTGGTACACCATTCAATTTGAATCGTACGGTCTTCTACTTTCATGATGGAAAGCACTAGAGTTGGAGACGATAGTTTGATGTTTGGGAAATTACGAGAAATGTATTTTAATTTTCAATTAATTGGAAAAAAAAATACCTATCAACTTTAATAGACTTTGTCTAATCATTTTTTCTCAATTTTGACATTTTTTTTTACTAAAATAATTTTTACGGTAGTCATATTACCATAATGACTATCAAATTACATTACTTAAAATACCGTAATGATAGAGCTTTCACGGTAATACGACTATCATGAAAGTTATTTTGATAAAAAAAATGTCAAAATTGAAAAAAAAAAGGAGTGCAAACAAGATTTATGAAAATTGAAGTTTTTTTTTTTTTTTTCAATTAGACAAAAATTAAAGTATATTTCTGATAATTTGTCTTAATATTTTATGAGTGCATGAGATTTCTCAAAGGTTTGCAACTAGCAGTTCTAGATTGCTTTGATCTATCCTTTCATATTTGCAAGAAATCAAAGCGGTATGTAATAAATAGTTATGATCTGTTTGATGTTTACGAGTATCTAGAACTAAGAGTTTCAAGCTGCTTTGATTTCTTATAATGAGTGGCCCAAAACTTATAGCTCAAACTAAAACTAATAGTTTTAAATTGGGAATTTTTAAAGAAATAACAAAAAGGACCACAAAATGGCAGAGCATAAAATATAAAATACAAAAATATTTTTAAATACTACTAATTTATAAGTTATATTAAAAAATCAATAGAGTGGTTAAATAAAAAGTGATTTATGTATGGACTAAAAAATTGGTAAAATATGAAATGCTCCACTTATATGCAGAAATTACAAAGAAAGTTAGTCAACCCATTTTATTTTTTTTTCAAAATTGCCCATATATCAACCCGAATTTTGATTATTTTTTTAAAGTTGTTTTTAATTTTTTCGTTAGTAGTACATTGTCTTAAAGCTTAGGG